GCAGCATCGCCCGTGTCTCCAAGCCGCCTCCTGAGCACCCAGAGCCGCGAGCGGGACTGGGAGAATGCGTCCACCGCCTCCTCGCCTGCCTCTGTGCCTGAGTACACAGGTGAGACACCCCCCCCCAAGTATGCAAAGAAGTTTCTTCTGTCACCAGGTACATGGGGAAAGGGACCTTACTCTCCCCCTCCTCCCCCTCACAGACCTGAGTAGGGGGAGGGACTGCCCAGACCTCGGTACACAGTTTCTGCCCCATACCCCAGCCTCCCACAACCCAGGTCCCATGGGACCCTCACCACATCCAGCCCCCAGAACCCAACAGGATTCAGTCCCCTGCCCAGCACCCCCAGTGACACAGAACCTCCTCATCCAGCCGGGCCTCACTGCCCTTATTCCCAGATGCCTCAGCAGATGCAGTTGCTGCTGAGATGGGGTCTGGCTACGGCCCCTGCCTGGGGAGGTGGTTGGCGGGAGAGGGGCTGGGTTAAGCCCCCCACGGCTGTCCGAGCTTTAACAGCACCCCCTGGTCCCTCCCCCTGCAGGTCCAAAGCTATACAAGGAGCCAAGCGCCAAGTCCAACAAGCACATCATCCACAACGCACTGGCGCACTGCTGCCTGGCCGGCCGTGTCAATGAGCCCCAGAAGAACCGTGTGCTTGAGGTCTGTTGTAGAGGGGGGCAGGGGGTTAGTGCCAGCCTGGCTGTAGGGGGGTGTGGGCACCATGGAGCCCCAGTCTCAGCCACCCATAGGCCTTGCCTGATAGGGTGGGCGGGGGGTGTCCTGGGCTGGGGGCCAGTGGGTACTGAGTAGGGGGATCCCCTGCTGAGTGGTGGGCTGGAGGCTGGGGAGATCCTGTGAAGTCCCATGGGGTCTGGGCAGGGGGTTGGGGGTAGGGCAAGGGGGGATAAAGGCTGAGGCGTCCCCTGTGGGGGCTGGCCTGGGGTGGGTGGGGAAGGACCCATTGGTGGAAGAAGGATCTGAGGTGGTGCTAGGGCAGGGGACCATGTCCCATTGCAACTGGGCTGTGGTGGCTGGACAGGGGGCAGGGTTCAATGGGCACTGGGTTGGGGGGTCTCCTGTCTGACCCCCTCTCACCCCACCACCCCTACATTGCCCCCCAGGAGATTGAGAAGAGCGCGGCCACTCACTTCCTGATCCTGTTCCGTGACGGCGGGTGCCAGTTCCGGGCATTGTATGCAGCAGGCACTGAGGGCGAGGGGTTGACGCGCCTGGCAGGCTGTGGCCCCCGCGCCGTGGCCCCCACTATGATTGAGGGAGTCTACAAGTACAGCTCAGATCGCAAGCGCTTCACACCCATCCCCTCACGCTCGCTCTCCATGAGCGTCGATGCCTTCACCATCCAAGGCCACTTCTGGCAGGGCCGCAAGCCGCCCACCCCCAAGAAGCCAGGGACCCCGAAGTAGCCCCTGGCCAGCACTGAGCTAGCCCTGGGTCCTGAAGCCCAGCCCCTGCCTGCTGGTGACCCCACTCCCTGGACTGTGGGGGTGGGGCAGGGCCTGGACACTTGGGTTCCTAAGCTGAGTCCCCACTCTGGGGTCCTGGCCTGCTGGACTGCAGCGGGCAGGGCAGGACCCGGACACCTGGCTTCTGAAGCTAAGCCCCCCATGCCAGGCTGCTGTGGGTGGGGCAGGGCCTGGATGCCTGGGTCCTAGAGGCTCTGAGCTGGGCACATGCCAGGGGGTGCTAGGGTCTGGTGGAAACTGCCAAATCCCCTTACGAGCCCTACGGTCAGAGGGTGTGGGGGGTCCTGCCTACTACCCCCCTGGGGGGGCTTTTGCTGCCTGCTGATTGGAGTCCTAGTGCCCTTAGGGGTCTGTGTCTGTTGGATGAAGCTGCACGTGGAGGGGGAGGGGTTGGGTCAGAGTCGTGTCCTGCGTCTTGTCGGGTGTCGGCGCTTCTGCACCGGTGAAGGAGGGTGTGTGTCTCTTGTCTGTTTGTCTGTCTGTCTGTCTGCCTGCCCCCCCCACCCTTGCCTACTGGGGAGTGGAGCCTAGGGGGTTGCATTGGGTTGGGGGGGGGGGCCCTATGCTGATCCTGCCAA